GGAGCTCTGGTAGCATAGTGCCTAAGGCACTTGACTGCTAATCAGAAGTCTGGCGGTTCAAACCCACCAGCCACTCCTCGGAAGGAAGATGGGGCAATCCACTTCCGTAGTGATACTGCCTCGGAAACCCAAGGAGGAGTCGCTATGAGTCAGGTCCGACTCGATGGCACATAACAACAGCATAATATTAATGGGAGCTCTGGTAGCATAGTGCCTAAGGCACTTGACTACTAACCAGAAGGCTGGCAGTTCAAACCCACCAGCCACTCCTGAGAAGGAAGGTTGGGCAATCTACTTCCATAGTGATACCACCTAGGAAACCCAAGGAGGGGTTGCTGTGAGTTGGGTCCTACTCAATGGCACATAACAACAGCAACAACAACATTGTTATTTCATTAATTCATGGGGCCAGCATTTTGATAGATGCTATTAGAGAGGAACAAATACAATACTTAGAACCACTAGGTAAATAGTAAAAAGTTCAGTAATTAGGGTCCTGAAAAAAAAATATTGTGAAATGAAGACTATACAAAAGGATACAAAAAGATAATGTAAGGCACACATAAGTGGATTTCTGGAACCTGGAAGGAGAGTAATTCCATCTGGTCAAACACTGCTCCATTCTGTTCCATTTTATAAGATTTCTCTCCAGCTCTTTAGTGATAAGGAACTGGAGAATCATCTTATTGTAAAAGCATAGGATTTGGATCAAGAACATTTTGGATTTAAGCCCTTCCTCCACTTTGAATCCTTGCTGGCTATGTAACCAGAGACACATTAATAAACCTGGTTCTGGTGCCTTGAGGAGCTCTGGTAGCATAGTGGCTAAGGCACTTGACTGCTAACCAGAAGGCTGGCGGTTCAAACCCACCAGCCACTCCTCGGAAGGAAGGTTGGGCAATCCTACTTCCGTAGTGATACTGCCTCGGAAACCCAAGGAGGGGTCGCTATGAGTCGGGGTCGACTCGACGGCAAACAACAACAACAACTGGTGCCTTGGGCTTAGTTTTGGAATCCATAATAGTTCTTCCTTTTCCCAAAACCGCCAAGTGTCCAGACTTCCTCAGAATCAGCCTTCTATCTTGAGCAGTAGGAGATGGGGGTCTGGAACTTCCTCAGAATTGCTAAAAAGTAACATGAAATTCTCTGGAATCTAGAGGGAACTACAGAGGAGAGTTAGTGGCATTTCTACCTGAAACCAATGTAAAGGCTGAATTACTGGTTTTTTAGATCCTGAATTCCTTTGGGGACTTGGAGGATAAAACAGCAGGTGGTTAGATGGAGGAGGGAAATAGAAGATCCCAATCACATGCAAAGACTAAGATACAAAGAGGAGTAATCATTATCTTAGAATTGGCAGGAAGAGTTATGTGTTTATATGTGCACTGCTTTCCCACCTCTTGTTTCCTCCTGGACTCATTTGTATGTAGTCATGGTACCTTTGGGTCCATTTTGCAGTTATAGATGACTGTGACATTACATCAGGCAATTCACATTTTCTCTTTTCACTTGCACCCTAATGTGGAGCTCCCGTTGACTTTATCCTCCCCACTTAACAACTGTTCTGCCCTGTCGTTTTTGTTGTTTTGTTTTGTTTTTGTCTGTTTTTTCCCCCTCAGGTAACCAAGAACAGCCCATGGAAAAGTTATATGAAGAGGTGGTGATTAAGGTCATACAGCAGGAGTGGACATGTTTGGATTTCCAACTGCTACCCTGCTGGACTGTCATGGAAGATATGCCCAGAATGTAGCATTTTTCAGTGAGTGTGTTGGTTGATCGCTGGGATGCCCTCACCACAGATCCCTCAGCATGGGCCAGCAGTCTGAGGAAGCAGAGGAGATGTTCCCTTGGTAGAACTCACTGTTCTGGGGGTTACAAGAAAAGCATGCAAATTGGAGTTAGAACTAATAGTAGAAACAGAGGAGGAATAGAATTTCAAAGGAAGAATGAGAACCCGCTTGATAAGGAGCTAGTGTTGAGGTTGTCTCAGAAAATGAATGAGCAGCTTTCAATATCAAAGCAATCATTGAATGAGATAGGGGACCAAGGAGACAATTTCCTGAGGATAACACCAAGCAAACTTAGTGATAAATGCACCCATACTTAAAGTATATCAGGAGGCTTAGATTCAAGGTAGTACTGGAAAACACTGTTAATATATGCATAGGAAATGTTTGAGAATAACTTCTAAAACAAATTAATTTATAGCTTAGTGTGCTGAAGATAGCATGGATTTTGAAGGAAAAAAGTTCTTTGGAGCAAATTTTATAATTGCCCTGGCTATTTCTGTGATATCTGGCAAGTTATTTGTTTGAGATTCAGGCTCTTCATCTGTAAAATGGGACAATAAGTTCTACCTTGTATGTTTATAACAGTAAAGTACTGAGGATTCTGCTATATATTTTCTGAAGCCCTGGAGCTTTACTGTCAAGAGAGTAGAATGTGAAGCAGAAGTAGAATTATAATGAAACTTAGGCTTCAGAACCCCTCATGTGCATTGGTCTTTTCCAAGGCCCTGTGCCTAATGTCATACTTCTTTTCAGAAAGGGACCCCTAAAACTTTAAAACTTCAGGCCCTATACATCCTGGATCAACATGTGTATGGAATCAGATAAAACTTAGGTAGGAGGCGCCATGTGATCCTGTATAATTTTCTTGATTTTCAAAGCCTATTTTCTTATATGTGAAATGGAGATACGTCATCTTACAAGATTATCCGAACAGCTAAATTAAAATTAGAGGCAGTACACTGCTATGGAGTATGCCTGCGATTGAATCTCAACTCTACACTTAGTAACTGTGAGACCTCCTGTGCTCTCATTTCTTCAACTGTAGCAATATAAGGATTGTTTTCAGGATGAATTACCTATGCAAAGTTTTCAGCATAATGCCTGGCACATAATAAGCACTCAAAGTATTGTGTTTCTTTTTTTTTCCATTCTTCTCACTCAGCATATTGGTGCATCTTACATGACTTCCCTCTCATTTTACCAGATGTGATGACAGAAGCCCACCACAAATATGATCATTCTGAGGCCACAGGATCCTCAAGCTGGGATTTCCAGAATTCTTTCAGAAGAGAGAAGCTGGAACAGAAATCCCCAGATTCTAAGACACTACCTGAAGATTCATCTGGAGTGAGACAGAAGGTTTATGATTGCCAAGAATGTGGAAAATCCTTTAGGCAAAAAGGTAGTCTAACGTTACATGAAAGAATCCACACTGGTCAAAAGCCCTTTGAGTGTACCCATTGTGGAAAAAGCTTCAGGGCCAAAGGAAATCTTGTTACACATCAGCGAATACACACAGGAGAGAAGCCCTACGAGTGCAAGGAGTGTGGGAAAAGCTTTAGTCAACGAGGCAGTCTGGCTGTTCATGAGAGACTCCACACTGGACAAAAACCCTATGAGTGTATTATATGTCAAAGAAGCTTCAGAAATCAAAGTAACCTTGCTGTTCATAGAAGAGTTCACAGTGGTGAGAAGCCCTACAGATGTGATCAGTGTGGAAAAGCCTTCAGTCAGAAAGGAAGTTTAATTGTTCATATCCGAGTCCACACAGGCCTGAAACCCTATGCCTGTTCACAGTGCAGGAAGAGTTTCCACACTAGAGGGAATTGTATTCTGCATGGCAAAATCCACACAGGAGAGACACCCTATCTGTGTGGCCAATGTGGAAAAAGCTTCACTCAGAGAGGGAGTCTGGCCATGCACCAGCGAAGCTGCTCACGAAGGCTCACTCTTTGACCACTCTCTTCAAAAGGAAGTTCTCTTTATGAATTAAGTGTACAGAATCCTCTAAGATCAACCTATCCAATTCTATGGAATGAATGGAGAATCTTTCAGAAAACCTACCATTGATAGGGCAAACTGACTTTTCCCTTTACTCCCAAGTCTGGAAAATAAATGTCTTGTTTATTATCATTAACACTTATGATTCCTAATTTCTGTCAGTTTATTTTTACCTAATTTTCCAAGGTGCCCTCATTAATCGAAAGCCACACTTGAGATAGTTCTGGTGTAGAAGATACAGATTTTAAATTTGTAGTTGACACCATCAGTCTTTAAAAAAAAAAAAAAAAAAAAAAAATCAGCCTTGCATCAATCGCAAGGTTCTTTCCTGCCCTACATATTCAAATTATTTTTGTTTTTCATTCAAGACCACTAGGCAGAATTCATCAGACAAATCTAATTATATATCACCTTATTATCTGGATGAAACCCCCAATAATATACTCTAGCGAACCACTCATGCCTGCAAATAAAGACCTTAGCCTTTCCTTTCAAAAGAATATCCCTTTCTTAGCTGCATAGGTTTAAAGTCTACACTCAGATTTCCTTCAGTCCTCCATTACTAAGTGGAATAGAATTTGCCAGTAGTCAAATAGTTGTCTATATGGCAATTTCTTGAGAGCTATCTCCAATTTGTTGAAAACTCAGACTATTATCATGCCCTCTATTAAAGGGACTCCTATTCCCTGGGAGACATAATGACTTTCACTCCTTCTTTGGCAACAGTAGCAATATCTTGGGGTTGCAGTCACCTAGAAAAGACACTGTTGTTATGTGTCTTGGAGTCGGACCCGACTCATAGCGACCCCTCCTTGGGTTTCTGAGGCAGTATCACTACAGAAGTAGATTGCCCAACCATCCTTTCAAGGAGTGGCTGGTGGGTTTGAACTGCCAGCCTTCTGTTCAGCAGTCAAGTGCCTTAGGCACTGCGCTACCAGAGCTCCTAGAAAAGACACTAGGATCATTATTACTGACCCCAGATTTCCAGTCAATAATGAAATTTCAGTCCTGCCAATACCGTTCTCTTCATCCTACACAAATTTGGAAGGATAAACCACTCTAGTTTTGTTTACTTCTCACTCACTGCTGCTGAGTCGGATTCGACTCATAGCGACCCCTCCTTGGGTTTCTCAGGCAGTATCCCTATGGAAGTAGATCGCCCAACCTTCCTTCTGAAGAGTGGCTAGTGGGTTTGAACTGCCAGCCTTCTGGTTAGCAGTCAGATGCTTTAAACACTATGCCACCACTTCTAGGTGGTGAGATTTCAAAGAGGTTAGAGAAGAGAAGATGGCTTTGAAGAAAAATTTTCATTTTTTATGTTAGCCATCTACAAAAACAGCAAGGAGGCCACATGTTCTGACCTCCTCTAATCCCACAAGAGGAAGACAGAATCACCATCAATAGCCCAAGGCCTATTCCTGCTAGGCCAGACATGCTGCCTCCCTCCAGCCCTTTCACCAACCATTCCTCCCAAAGCACCCACCACCTCTCTCCTGGATTCTATAATTCACTGCAGTGGCCACACAGAGCTCACAGATTATGGAGTTTATTAGGGAAGCACCACAGGCTACAATTCAAGTTCAGGAAAAATGCTCAGTCTCTCTCCCAGCCCACCGTCCCTCAGCCAACAGTCTCTCACAGTCTCTTTCCCAGCAGTGCTGGTCCCTCGGTGTCTCACTCAGCAATGTGTGTCTCTTGCGTCTGTTTCCCAGCAACACATGTCTCAGGAGCCTGTGTCTCTTTCAGCAGCAGATCTTCCTCAACCAGCAGTCAGAGAGAGTTCTGTCTCTATGAGGCCTCCTTTTGAGCTTGGCAGAGTGGCCAAACCAACCAATCATAACAATAGAATTCTAAGCACCTGAGAGTGAGCCGCCCATAACATTGCACTGTGTCACACCCAACAGAAATAACCCAGGTGAATAACATTTACAATCAGGAGCTCCTCAGTTGCTCATTCCACCACTGAATTTACAATGACTTATGGGTAGAAAAGCCATACAAAGTAATTTACTACATTGCACCATCTATTATGAGCATTTATAATTTAAATGATTGTGTAAAGGTGTAGTTTTCTTGATACCATTCCATTATTGAATAACAGATTACTATTCCTCTACATGAGGAGTCTAGTGTTATTAGCTATAGATCCTTAATCCCAAAAAGGTTTGGTAACAATTCTCTAGCATCTAGAGAGGTAAATGATACCAAAGTTCTTTAAGCATTGAAACATTTTAGTAATACTATAGATTTGAATAATAATAGAATACTGCTTCCAAAGATAACCTGGTAACATTTGAAGATGCATACAACCTTGTTCATAACAATAGCTACAAACTGGGGGGGGGGGGAGGGAATACCAGCAACAGATGAGGGATTAACAGATTGTGGTATGTTTATGCAATGAAATAATGGCTCAACAAAAAAAATAAAACTAATACACGCAATAATACGGGTGAATCTGAAAGCCTTACATTGAGGGAAAGATCTCACACACAATAATTTCATTATGTGAAAGAATTTAAAGAACAAGCAAAACTATAGTGATACAAATCAAATAGTGGTTGCCTCGAGGGAGTGGGAGGGGGTGCATGAGAATTGACTTGAAAGGGGAATGAGGGAACTTTACAGTATGAGAAAATGTTCTATAACTTATCAGGTGGTAGATGCCCAGGTCTAAGTAGAAAGTCCAACTATCCTGAGACCACCATGCTAGACAAGCTGCATGTAAGCACTCCAGTTGACAGGCTCAGCTGAGCTTCCAAAAATAGCCAGCATCACTGCAAGGTGTGAGAGCCATCTTAGATATCCAGCCCAGTAGAATTTTCAGATGGCTGCAGCTCCAGCTGACATCTGACCAAAAATGCATGAGAGACCCCTAGTAAACTGCCTTCTCAAATTCCTGATTCACAAAAGCATGAGAAAAATAAAAGGTATGGGTTTATACCCCTATATTTTGGAGTAATTTGTTATGGAGAAATAATCAAAACAAGGGTTTAAAAAAGAATAGAAGCTATTGTGGAAAAAAGTCTAAGGGAGCAATTTGGTAATACCTCACTGATTAAATTAAAACAGGAAATCATGATTCACCAGAATGCTTAAGATTTAAAAATTAACATTCCCTTTGACAAAGTGGGCATCTACCACCTGAAATAGGAGGCAAGATATAATATAACCAGATCCAAACTATAAAGTGAGAAAGTAGTTGCTGAGGGCCCAGGAAACCTTGACCCTATAGCTAAATTTGGTCAGC